ATATTCATTAAAAAATTGAAGCCGACAATGAATAGAATCAGCTATCAATACTCTAATAATATTCTATATTCCTATAAAAAGAACAGTTTTCACACTTTAATGCACGCTCAACCATGACATTCCAAAATCAAAGAAAAATCCATAATGGATATATAATCACCTTCTAATGAATGCTAAAGCATGACTCAACCGTAGCATTTAAACGCAAAAGAAAACAAAATTCAGGAATAGATAGCTACACATATTTTTCCTTTACCAGTTGCACCCCTGATGATTATCTCAGAATTAGATGGAATTTGCTTCGGAAATAAAAGTGATTCTCAATGTTACAGTGTATTTCTTGTCTTATTTATTTGTAATATATGGAAAAAATATTCGTGAATATGAAAGAATTATGATCAAAATATTCAGAAAAATTTGTAATTTATTTATTCAGACATGCCTTTGCTGACTAAATACACACACACACACACACACACACACATATATATATATATATATATATATATATATATATATATATATATATATATATATATATATATATATATATATATATATAGAGAGAGAGAGAGAGAGAGAGAGAGATGAATGTGATGATGAATATAAAATAACCATAATCAAAAACTTATTCAATAGAGCCTTTCACATCTCCTCATCTAGAACAATATTTTACAAAGAACTCACCAATGTAAAACAGACACTCATAAACAGATAAATTAGTTGACCAACATACCTCTCAAATATTCATAATAATAACAAATGAAAAAAAGCAGACAATATCATTATTAAACTTTTCTATAAAAATCAAATGCACAGCAACTATAAATACGGTGAACTAGCCATAACTAACACAATCCACAGGATACACTAAACCTGTCCAACAATATAAACAAATAAAATTAATAATATACTACACTCAATTAAAAATCTCGAACATAAAAGTTCCTCAATAAAACTAGGTACCTCCAAAAATTTGTATACCGACGGTATAAATGTATTTTTCATGAAGGAAAAATCCTTTTCGAAGCTTTCCAACCGCTTCAATTGAAAGCTAAATGATTAAGTATTTTCATTCCAGAAAAAAATACTGTGGAGTATTTCAAATAGAAATTTGGATGATTTTTAGTCGATACTTCCGAGAAATCAACCGAAACGGCCATTTTTAACTTTTTTAAGAAAAATGTAAACAAACTTATTTTTCAGTTTTGAAAATCCCGCTAAAATAAGATATACATTTCTGAGACGTTACTTTCGTAAAATTAGCAAATTTAAAGTTAAATTAATCTCTTCTTAAATAAATATCACTTACTTATAGCATAAAATCTTCTAGACAAACATTTCTTGACCTCGGAGTCTTGTTATTTCCGCATCTCCATCGATAATTTGATGGCTGTATGTGTTGACAGGTTTAGTACGGTGATTCAAAAATGACATAACGTTTGTTTTTGGGGTTTTTTTGTTTCTTATAATAATTTAAAATACTACAAAAATTTCTTACATTATTGAGTTACCTCTATCTCTTTTATTATTATAAGATAATAATAAGTAATTTTATTAATTATTAATATTACATTAAGTTATTACATTTTTAATTTAATAACTGATGTAATAACTAATAAAATTATTATTATATTTATAAGTATATCTCACTGAGTTATTAATCGCTTAAATTGATAAATGAGATGATTTTATTATCTCAATTTAATTTTTAATTTAATAATTGAGAGTGAGATAAGACATTTACATGTCAAGGGGTTTTCTCCAAGGTGGAGACAAGCCTTGAAACACGTGACATTTTAACCATAATGTCACTTATGAGATAATAATACTAAAAAAAATATATACATTTTGACGCACAAAAAATTATTTTAAATTATGGTAAAAAGTTTGGGTGGCGTTATTTGTAATAAGCTTTTAATTTTCGCTTAGTAAATACAGTCTTCACTTTGAAACTTAATAACCTACCCCACACTCTGCTTGGAAGAATTTTAAAACATTTTAAAGAAAATGAAAAAACAACTAAAAGAAAAATGCAAACAATTCTTGAAATATTCTTTAAAAAAAATTTTGAAAAAAATGTTTTCTTCAAATAATAATGTCCTTCAAGTATATTATTTATAAAAGCAAATAAAAGCCTATCCAGTCTGATAATTAGATAATTTATTGCAGTTTTTATTTTACGATTTGGAGCAGATTTTTAAAAAGTTGGCAGTAGTTGTGAAAAAAAAATGATGATTTAATTTCTCCAAGGAGTCCTGCTTATAATATAAAACAATTTGCGAACTGTTTGAAATTCTAGAAAATTTCATAAAATTAATTTATGTCGGGGAGGTGGGGTAACAGATGTAAAAAAAATATTTTTACCAAGATTTTCTAAAAATAAAAATTTCAAAAATAAATGCATTCATTTTTGAATAAGTCTTGAAAGTTTCATTAAAATCAAACAATTAGTTGATTTTTTCAAGAATTTCTAAATTAATGGCTTTCCCCCTGAAACTGATACACTAAAATGGCCATTACCACACGTATTACAAAGTTAACAAAAAGCACGAGATTTTTTACCCAAATTTAGAACGCGTTAGAAAGAAGGGAATATTTTTTTAAATATTTTAAAAATACACTGTTCTTTCCTCTTAATAATAACATAAACAATTTAAAGATGAAACTTTGTTTTTATTAAGTTTCGGAATTTTTATCATAATGCTATACTGATTTTTAGCAAATTATTGAAGGTACCTAAATAAAAACTATGTAGTGTATAGATTCACTTGCCCGCTTTCTCTCACAATAACCCTAGCGCATACATTGGACACACAACCACAGCTCACTCACGTAGGCTCACATACCACCTTAATGACACCAGAGCCATTTACAATCATCTTGTAACAATACACAGCACCACCAGTAACCCATTCAAATCATCCGACATGAGAAAAATCTTAATTAACAACACTAAAATCCTCTATAAGAACAGACTACAAATTCTGGAAGCGATCCTAATCAAAAACCAAAAACCAAACATAAATAAAATAGCATTTAGCACCTTATCAATAATCTATATTATCTATAAAACTAAAACAACAAACAAAGTCCACATTGAACGAAACGCGTCAGCAAGTACTACAGTTTTCCTATTGTCATTTATATTTATAACTATTGTCTTTTCTCCAGGTTAACTCTGAGAAATGTTCATATATATATATATATATATATATATATATATATATATATATATATATACACGCACACGCATATCATCCCTCACCGGTAGCACGACAAGGAGTCTATGATATGTTTAAAATAAACATGCATTAATGTTATCTATTAAAAAATATATTAAAATATACGTACCTAAAGCTATATAAAAATAATTTTAAAATATTAATTTTTAATTAAAGTTACGATTATTATTCATATTAAGCATAAAGGGGGATTTCTCAATTTTTTTTTTTTTTTTTTTTTTTTTTTTTTAAAAAACTTTTTATATTAAAATAAATGAATCCAGAAACTATAAAACATTGTATTTTAGATATGTGGATCATAAAAAAAATGTATTTGCTCGACATAATATAAGTGGACGGCCAATGTATGACTGAAAATATTGTATACCTTGCTAATATACCTTCCGGTAACGATTTTACATATTATTTTTGTTCCACTGAAAATACTTGAAAATTTTGTTTCTATAATAATCGAATGATTTTAGGCAATGTAAGATACATGAATAACACTGTTGTCTCCAAACATTTCTGGTAATTAAAGAATGGTGATAATACAACCATTATTACATGGGATATTGTAGCATGTAAGGACATTATTATGAATAAATAAAATATTGTAAATAATATAATAATTTATTTATTCTTTTTTAATGTTTATTTTTTATAAATCTTAAAAAATTATGAATAAATTATTTATTTATAATGTATATGCTACTTATTGACGTCTAAATTTTATATAGCCAAATTTCATATGACTTTCGAATTACATGGTCATCGTCAGTAGTGTGAGTAAGAGAAATGAACAAATGTGTCAGCGTATTGTTTAAGTGCCCTTATATTTTGTTTGAAAGCTGAAGAATTTACAGTTTTGTGCATCAACAACAGTCATATAACAGTACATGACGTGACGGAATGTATTTGATTAAATTCAAAATGTATTATGCCGGCAAAACAGGAAAACAAGAAATTCGAAAATCGGTTTTAAATCAATACTAAAAATAAAAGAAGAATTGCCTGTACAGTTTCATTTAGGTAATTGTTTTTTTTTCTTTTTTTTTGCAGGAATGATTTCTTATTTTAAAAAATAATAGATCAAATCTTTAAAAAAAAATCATATAATGTTAGTATGCGAAGAAGCGCATTCGTCGGCCAATGAAAAGATTTTGAAAAAAATGTTACAATGTGATTAATCGAAGATAAAACAGGGAATTGTTCAAAGAGCTGACTTACATTTCTTCTAAACCAAAACAATGCTATCTTACAAATCACTGTAAGGTACATTTATCTTTGTAATACGTACGAAATGATTTGTGAGAAACTGTTTTTTTTTTTTATTCATGATTAATTAACACTTTTTATTCTCTCGCCAATATCTCTACAGAACAAAAGAAGTAAAATATAGAAAACGGTTGACATATGCAAAAGTATGTATTTTACGTCTGTGACAAGGTACAAGTTCATGATTTTAGTCCGAAAGTTAAAGCAGAGGTTGGATTAGTAACTTAGATGGATTGTCGGAATTTTAGATTCCGATAAAACAATTCAGCAAATACGTCTTAGTCATGCATATTTTTATTCTATGTCCTCTACTTAGATTTATTGATTTGAAATACACACAGTAAAAATGAATAATTAATATGATTTAAATTTCTGACCTTATATATAGGCAACAAATAGGTAAAATTAAGTTACCCAGATATAGTGTTAAACATTTAATCAATTTTGCTGATTCCGAATCTATTACAATAAATGTTTATTATAATAATCATGGGAAACCTTAATGCCAAAGCAGGGAAAGAGAGAGAGGGAGAGAGAGAGAGAGAGAGAGGGAGAGAGAGAGAGAGAAGGGGAAATAGATGGCAAATTCGGACTAAGAACACGAAATGAATGCGGAGAAAAATGTGTGCAATGTTAAACGGCGAATGATCAGGTAGTAACCAACGCCTGCTTTCAAGACAACCCAAGACGTATATGGATATGAAGAATCCCATGAAAGAAAGAAAGAATCAAATCGACTACATAATGATCACTAAGAGATTCAGAAATGCAGTTTTACACCCCCTCTTCTAGTGATATGTTATCTTACAGTGAAATTACGGAGATTGAATATGGCCAATGCAGCGCCCAGATTGCAATGCAATAGACCCCAGAATTATCCGAATTATACGGAATTAAGTATACGGAAGGCGTTAAAAGCAGATACAATGAATGAAATGAGAATGTGAATTTGAAGTGAGACATTAAGAGAAGCTTTAGTAACATCAGCGAACGAGATCATCTGAAAGAAAACTTGACAAGGGTAAAATGAGTAGATGGCTGATGAAAGTCTCGACATGATATAAAGAAAACCAGGCACATTGCCAAGTTATCGCAAAAATTTACAACATTGCACAAAGAAATTAAAATGAAATACCGTTAGGCAAAAGTGGAATGGTTCAACGAAAATTGTGCATAAATAAAAAGGATGAACATTATAAATAAAGCAGATATGCAGAAAAGAATAAAACACACTCATGAATAGGATGCATAAAATCCAAAAACTCCTATTAGAGAAAGAAAAATAATTCAGAGATGGAACAAATACATCGGAGATCTTTTTTCAAGACGAAAGAAGACAATTGGCATTACACAGAAATATCGAAGGACCAGAAATATTAAAATCTGGAATTGTAATAGAGATGCTGACAGCTTTAGATGATTTCGGTATGATAAAATTAGACATAATAAATTATATATACTTGGGTAGATCCATTTCCTTAGCGCTGACTATGAAACCAAGTGCAAACGAATGCGAAGCTATCGGACAGTCTGCCAAATGATCTACATAACAAAAGTTACCGTACGAGTTCTGATTAATAGAATGCACAGCTGAATTAGACATGATATACAGCAAGTACAATGCGGCTTCATTAAAGAAACTGGAACAAGAAATACAATTTTTATACCCATAATGATATCTGATACAGTAACACAAATGCTATGTTTTTATAATTCATGGAAAAGCGTTCGATAAATTGTTACAATAAATTGTTTGGACTGCTAGGTAAGATAATTTAAGAAGGATATTAAAACAATCCATAGGTTATACTAGGAGCAAATCACCTGCATACAGATGGAAAGTGAATTCAGTAAATACACACAAATTGAAAGGAGCGTACGACAAGTGTGTATCTTCTCACCAGATTTGTCAGCATTCACAGTGAAGCAATCCTGGGAGCCCTCCCAGGTTTTATTATTTACACCCACGACTTTAATTGCTACAGCAGAAATGTGGTTCTGCAGTTAGATGCTGAGAATACTATGAACTGAACATGTAAGTAACCAGGAAGTTTTAGCCTTAACTGAGACAACACTTGCGCTTATAGTTAGAATCAGAAAGGACTTGAAAGAATTTAATCTTCACAGGGTATACTGAAGTCAAGAGGGACAGAGGAAAGCAGCGCGTAACTTACCGAATGTGGTTGTGTAAATGGTTACAATAACAGGGATTAGAAGTAATAGCAAAAACACAAGCTTAACTACGAGCTACAAAGATCATGATATTGTGGAGAACCATGATGCCCACGTCCTGAATAAAAATTCACACTTATATTCAAGATAAATATTGCTAGTATATTTTACACACACACACACACACACACACACACACATACATACGTATGTATGTATGTCTTCAAACATATATTTTTAAATATAACAGACAACAAATGTTAGATCATGAGCCGTTCTAAGCTTCGTATAGTTGCTTTAATTTCAGGAGAAAATAAAGACAAAAACTATCCCACATTTGGATATTTTTTATTAAGCTGTACCTCGATGTAAGCTTTCGGCTCACATGAGTCATCGACTGAGTGGTTATATGGACAGTTAAACAAAGATATTCACCATCAAAGATCATATTCTGTTATGTTGACATAGATGTTTAATATGCGACGATAACGGTCGGAGAATAGCAGGCGCAGGTCGTAAATTTGTAATGCGGTTCTTTGACGCTGTACCACATGAGAGACCGAAATATTAACAAGAGAACCATATGTTGTGACTAGTTTGAAATGCAATTTTGTTAAGTGCGGGTTGCATTGTTTTAATGTAGATGGCATCCAATATCTGAAGGTTCATTTTACTGTGTGTATGTGTGCGTATTGTGTAATCAACTAATATCTGACTAATATTATGCACATGGCTATGTTTTCTAAATGTTAATTAATAGAACTAAGATCAGAAAGGTGACAGGTAAGTCTACGGGAGAGCGTGGTTGTAGTAAAAACAATATATGTAGTGGGTTTATTATTAGTAAGAGAGGTACATTCTCTGAACGGGCATAAAATTGATACAATAGATAGTTGTTTTTTTTTTGTTTTGTTTTGTCATTTTTTTTTTTTAGAGGATTTACTTGTGTGGTTGTAAACTTATTAGAGACTATGTTTTAATTATTTTATTATATATGATGAGCTTAACTTGTTTATTATTATTACTATTACAATAGTATATGTTAATAGTGTTAGGTTTATTTTGACGGACACTATTATGGTTACAATTATTATTAATATTATCAATTTTTTAGAGGTATTATTAAGTTTATTGAGAATATAGTTTTGGATGAAGTTATTTGTGTGCGTTGAATTAAGATTTATACATATATATATATATATATATATATATATATATATATATATATATATATATATATATGGCTAACTTATATCGTTGGCAGCATTCACTGTTAAAATTAAGTAGACACGAGTTAATGCTAGTGGGTTTTCTATAAAGAAAATTAGTAAATTCATGTGTGCTGGAATAAATAAGTACATCAAGGATTGGAATTTTGTTATTAATGTTAAGTTCTAGCGTAAATTTTTTGTCTTTATTTTCTCCGGAAATTAAAAAAACTATACAGAGCTTATAACGGCTCATCATCAAACATAATAGAGATTCGTTGTCTGTTATATTTAACAATATATGTTTGAATAATGATCTGCTGCCGAATACACTAAATATATATATGTATATGTGTGTGTGTGTGTGTGTGTGTGTGTGTGTGTGTGTGTGTGTGTGTGTGTGTGTGTGTGCGTGTGTGTTCATATTAAGCAGTATATTAGTAAATGGCACATTTAAGTTATAGGAAGTAACCGAATAAATATAAAATACTCATTTTTATTTTTTTTAGTTTCTTCATAAATGTTTAAGGCAGTGGCTCTTGTTCTTGTACACTGAATTGGTCACCATTTATAGAAACCAGCAACGTTATCGATCCTATTTGTGTCCAATTGATTTTGATATCTTGATTCCACCTCACAGATGTCCTCGTGGTATCTATATCCATCATCATCATCTATATTAGTTGAAAAAAATTGAGAAGTAAATACAAAAGCTACATTTTAAAAGACATTCGTGCCAGTTTCTGGTAGGATTTTTCAATTAGACTTCATATTTTTGATACAGTTCACAATGGAGAAAGAGAGTAACAACGCACACCCATTCCTGTATTTTCTAATATCTCGAACAGAGCATGGGTTCAATACATCCGTTACCGTAAACCGACATTCATCAGACAGTACCTCAATTTCAACTCCCACCATCCATACAGCGTAAAGAAAGGGATCATCCGCTGCTTACAACACCGAGCAAAAGTCATAAGTGACATTAGATAAAGAATTGGTCAGTATAAGTAGTACCCTACAACGTAACAACTACCCTGGGTACATGGTAGTAGCCCCAAAAAACTGGGATAGGTGGGTACAAGAAGAGGACAACAACACTCAGAAAACAGTCTGCCTGCATTATGTGAAGGGGTTATCAGAAAAAATACAAAGGATCTGCGGTCCATATAACATCAGAACAACCTTCAGAAGCTTGAGGACACTTCGTAGATATCTCTCCCGGGTAAGACCCCCCCGATAGAGGAGAACATGACTAAAGACTGTGTGTACGCTATCCCGTGCATTTACGGAAATAAATATAAAGGGGAGACAGGCCGCCCCCTCAAGGTAAGGCTTCAAGAACACCAGAAAGCTGTGACACGAGGAGAAGTGGAAAAATCAGGCGTGGCCGACCATATTTAGAGAGAGAAGGGATATCACCGCCCTCTGTGGGATCAGGTTGAGATCATAGACAAGGAACACCATTGGGAAACTCGTATATTTAAGAAATCAGCACATATGCTAGACCACAATAATCTCTTGAACCGACCAAGCATAGAAATGAATACAATACGGGAACCAGTAATAAAGAGTGCCATAGAAAAGCGATAATAACAACAAAAAGTTGCAATATGAGCACTGGTAAAAATGGTTACTGAGTCATTATGTTTATAATATCCAGAAATTCACACACAAGAACACATGCCACAGTGGATAAGGGCGTTGGTTAGATCCAGTGACAGGATCCAAAAAGTGTGTTCAATACCCGGTTAAGGCAGTGGAAAACTTTCAGAGGGAAATTAACTGGCGATAACTGATAACTGACATCCATTAAACATGGCACGTAGAACTAGAACAGTTCTACCCCAGTGAGCGAATTAAAGGGTTCAGTTAGACATTCCAACCACCTGAAGAAAGCCGGAGCGTACAACGGCCGAAACGTTGCAATAAATATAGTCCGAATAATGTAAATAATGTACATAATACCTCATCTCAGAAATATAGACAGATACTGATCTTAAGCCAACAGACCTTGTCATTTGAATTCAAGAATATTTATTTGGATGAATTTTGGCTGCCTAGAAATATCCTATCTTTATATGCTGACACACACACATTGTGTGTGTACGTGTAAAATTTAGTGTAGCACCATTATTCAAATTCTGTTTAGCAGCATTATGAGAACTTATCTATATGCGAGACGGGGATATTACATAGATACATGTGTATAAATAATTTGATTCAATGTATTCATAAACTGTAATTAAATATTGTTAGATTTGTAAGATATTCTCTATCGTGTTTGTTTATGAAATTAAATTCAATCAGATAGTTAAGTTCTCAAATAGAAAATAGTGCATATTTTAAAGTAATAAATATAATTATTATTATAACATATTGTAAAGTGTGACGAGTCCGTTCGACACGTCAGATACTGTATGTCAATAAAACGCCGGCCGCGTTCACCGGTCCGCTTTATATATTATGCCAAGGTTAGGTAACTCTGTTCCAGGGGCAGATAACTCTGTTCTCACCTACACATGCACTCCCCGTAACCACGGGATGAACTGACGTGGTTATTTCACTCATCCCAGAACCCATGTGACTTTCCGCCCATTCTTGGGGACAACGGTCTGGGTGGTCGAGACGGCCTGGTGCTCCGTCGTGGGTCCTGGGTCACCGACGGTGTGGGGTGCTCAGTTGCTATCTGGTCTTCATTCACGTCCATGTGGCCCTTTGGTTTCGTTTTCCATTCCGTCGGGCGTCGTAATGTTGACCTCTCGTCCGATGTCCATCGGTTCTTCTGGGTTCCGTTGTTGTGGAGGTTCTGAGTTCATACACGGGCCTGAGATTCCCGGTGTGGCGTGGGGCAGGCGTCCACCACTGAGGAACCGGCGGTTATGTAACGTAGTCCTTCCGCTTCCATCTACCCGTACTTGGTATTGTCCTTTGTCGTGTTTTTCTACAACCCTCCCCGTCTTTGCCCATCGACGGGGGCATATTCCATCTTGGTTTTGAATCCGGACCGAGTCTCCTACCTGCAGTTCCTAGAGTGGGCGGCAATGCTGGTTATAGAATTGCTCCTTTCGCATATGCCTCCTAGCCATTGCCAACTCTCTCAGTTCACCTATCTCTCTCCATTGCTTCCGTGTCTGGTATTTGTCCCTCAGGACCGGAAGATGGTCCTTAATTATTTGACCGTAGAGCATTATGGCTGGGGACATGTCTAGGTCCTGGACGGGAGTGTTGCAATGGGTCAGCAGCGCCTGGGCAACTTTATCCTGGCAAAGGTGTCCGCTGTAGTCTGTGTTGTCAAACAGTATCCGTCTTGCTGTTTTCACCGCTAACTCTGCGCGCCCATTGCTTTGGCGGGAATAGGCTGAAGAAATGCGTTTTCGTATGCTCCAGTTTTTTTAGAAAGGTGTTGTATTCCTGGGATTCGAATGAGGGTCCTCCGTCTGAGGATATTTCTTCAGGTGCACCATATTTGCAAAACCAGATCCTCATTGTATCGCACACGATTTTGGCGCATCCTGACGACATTAGGGCCACCTCCACCCATCCTGTATACCGGTCCGCGTACACCATGTAGCTTTGCCCTGTACGTCCGCGAAGTTCACCACGACTTGATGAAAGGGAAACTCCGGGTCTTCGGGTGTCAGTAAGGGCTCCTTTGGCCGAGACGGCGCGATTGTGTTGCAGATGCGACATTGAGATCTTGTCTTCCGATACTGGCATCCAAACCCAGACAGAATAATCGCTGTCTCGCATACGCCTGCATGACGTTTACGCCTAGATGCGCGGCATGGAGCGGTTCCAGTACCTCTGCTCAAAGTTGTCGAGGTATTAGAATTTTGTTGGCCTTTACTGTCACTCCTTCCAAACAGTATAACTCCTCGCGCATGGGCCAAAAAACCTGAGCTGTGGGTGGGATGTCGTTGCGTGATTTGGGGAAACCATCTTGAATTACTTTTGCTATGGTTCGGCATTCCTCATCAATGGCCGCCGCAGCGACAATCCTCTCCCATGTGATAGCCTTTAGCTTGGGGTCGCTATCATACATCGATGTGAAGGCGGCCTTGACTGCGGTGTCGATAGTTTGGGCTGGGCTTTCACGTGGGGTACCTGCCGGATATCGGGAGGCGTAGTCAGGTGCCAAATTCATCGATGAATACATTATCTTTACCAGCGGTAAGTGATCCACTGTTACCAGTAAGTTCGAACATCCGAGTACAAACATCAGGCATGACTCTAGTCCGTAAACAAGGGCTAAAGCCTCTCCTTCCACTGGTGCGTAACGAGATTCAGCGTCATTGGTGAACCGGGAGCCAGCCAGAATGACCTTGCAGTGGCCATCTCCGCAATCCATGTTCAACTCGCCGGTGCACTTGCAGTGCTTCTGAAATAGGAAGGACGAGATTCCTGTTTTGCTATAGTCCGTTTCCAGACCCGTTGCTCTGTTCCTCTCGAATGTTCGAACGCCCTTTTCAATTTTTTCCATCACTCTTTTTGACTGTTGGAATAGGCGTTCAAGTGATTCATCCCAATAAAATTTTCTACTTTTTGTTTTTAATAGTTCCCGGGAGGGGGCCATAATGTTTGCTTCGGAAAACGCGTACGACACCTGGTTCACGAGTCCAAATCAGGACCTGATGCCGGTAATATTCGTAGGTGTGGGAAAGTGGAGAATAGCTTCCGTCATTCTTTTTGTGGCTTTGACCCCGTCATCGGTGACCAAAAATCCTGCGAATTCCACCTCCACGTCAGCAAAATGGAATTTGTCAGGGTTGAATACAATTCCCTTGTCTGAACAGTGGCTAATGTATTCGACCGTATGCCAGAACGAGGATTTTATTGAATCGTTCCATAGGAGGCAGTCGTCTATGCACCTGGTTTTCCGTGTCATGTCCACAGTGACGTCGTCGAACCGACGGGTGTATCCGTCCCCTTATCCGTGAAACCCTTGTGGGGCCCGGTAATATCTGTATCGGCCCAACTCGGTGATGAATGTGGTAGCGTTTCGTGCGGCTGGAGACAACGGTAGACTTTGGTATCCGTTCCACGCATCGAGGACCGTTTTTCTCGTGTGTGCTGGTATCCTGGTCAAATGGGGATGATGTGTGGTGTGTTTCCCTCCTGGTTGCATCGTTCAGCTTTTGTAAATCTACCGTGCGCCTTGGGGATCCGTCCTTTTTCGGTGCACCCACCATCCTTGAACACCAGGCATCTTGGTCAGAGTGCCTACTGGCACTGGTTCTATTATGCCAAGGGTGATATCCCTGTCCAGCCCCTCTTTCACTTTCTTCTTCCAATTGTGTGAGACAGGCAGTGGCGTATGAACTTCCGTCGGCTTTGCACCCGGAATGAAGTCGATGTCCAATGGTTTGCCCTCTATTGCTTGCAGTGGTTAATGTGGGCATGTGTTAAATGCACTGGACTTGAAGTATTCACAGTTGCATCTTGTTTCTGTTGGTTTGGATGGGTTCGAATGGAATTCTTCTGGGCTTTGTTGGGACGGGCGCTCTGCGAGGGCATCAACACGGGGCTATTTCTTTCGCCATTGGTGATGAGTTGCTCCGTGACATTGATGTCGGGAAATTGAACGGTAGTAGGTTTAAGTCCTTTAACTCCGTTTGTGACAGGTAGAAACCAGCTGTGTTGTCTGACACGTACAAAGCTTGCCGTGTTTCCTTCGTCCCCACCTTTATGCATAAAAATAATACACCTTTGATGCATAGTCGGCCATTGGTAATGCCTTGTATCCGGTGGGTGGTTGATACTAGATATCCATCTGGATACCCCCGAGAAGCTTCTGGATCTCAGGTCCAGCCGAACAGGTCTGTGCCCCGGTATCTGCAAAGGCCTGGGGTTATTGGTTTCCGTGGTATGCGCCCAAAGGTCGCGTGAGTCCCAGGCATCATGTTTATCTCTACCTCCACTAATGAGGGCGGCTCTGGAGAGCTCCTTTGAATTTTTTTTTTCCATTCCACTCGAGGTGGAGCACGTCAACTAACCGCATACTGCCATGCTTGTCGATTCGGCGGGTAAATTGATCTCGGAGTACCGCTGGTAAACATAAACGAATCGTCGCTTTTTGACGTTCCACTCGTTGCCTCTGCTTTGAATTCCGCGAACTTCCGGAATACTTTCTTCATATGCCCCATTATCCCACAAAACTGGCATTTCATTTTGACCGCCGGACAATCATTCCGGTTCATTGACCCTCCAGGGTGCGAAGTCCTTCCACATCCGCTGCACGGTTTCTTGCGTCGTAGAGTCGAAGGGGTTTCAGTCTCCTGGAGCAGCTTTTCCTGGTCAGACCTTTGCATGTTGAATGATACAAGAGCGCGTGTGGTGTCGTGGAAGTGGGGTGCAGACTTTTCTGTCGTCTCGAGGCTGCCTCTGCCAATATTTTATTTTGGTGGTCTAAATTGGCGCGCCCAGCTATCATCTGTCCGGCAACCATATCTTCCGAATAATCCACTTTTTGCCCGCAAGTTTGCTCATTTGGGCATTGAACATTAAACTCGCAAAATTTCGCTTGGCCACGTAATCTAGATAGAAAGTGTGTTATGGACACACCCTCCTTCTGAGTCATGGAGTGGAACTTCTGCCGGTGAACCTCTTTATGTAATCCTTTCACCGCGATAACTCCTATCTGTTGTAATAGAAACTCCTCTGAAGCAGAGTTGAGCCCTGTAGGACCTATCAACTCAAATAATAGACGATTTGTTTCCGGTGTACACGTTGCCCGTAATTCGTTCCGGACTGCGACTAGTTCCTCCAATCTGCACCTATCCTTGTATCGGGTCCAGGTGTCCAAAAACAACGCCCATTCTCCTTCCGTTATATCCAGCCCTATCGAGGGTCGTTCTGGTTTCATAACTTGCGGAATGTTGGTGTGTCCACAAATCATTTCTTTTCTGAGTTCGATATTTTCCTTCTTAGCTCCACAAGTTGATTCATTAATTTCAAATATTCCTGCTGTATGGTGCTTGTCCAGTATCTATTGTAGTTTGGTAAAAATTCACGTTTTGCAAAACAATCCTGTCCACAGCGCCATATAAAGTGTGACGAGTCCGTTCGACACGTCAGATACTGTATGTCAGTAAAACGCCGGCCGCGTTCACCGGTTCGCTTTATATATTATGCCAAGGGCAGGTAACTCTGTCCCAGCGTGTATCGCAGGGGCAGATAACTCTGTTCTCATCTACACACATATAATTTGGTCTCTATTGTTATTATCCGTATTAATTTAGCACAACCTTTCCTTCGAAACAACTTCTGTCTTAATCAGATATATTAGATATTCATTAGTAAATAGGGTTTGTTGTTAGTTTTTCGGCATTTCTACGGTTTATTTAAAATACAGATTTCAATTTCAGCGATTTGAAAACAGCGAACCACTCAATTTAGTACCACTGATTGTGTGTGTGTGTGTGTGTGTGTGTCTGCCTAATGACGTAGAGAGTTTTGTTTTGATCTTTGTTTCTTTGTTAAGAAATGACAATATCACCTGATAGTAATAATACTGTAAGAAATGAATTTTACACATTGATAAGTTAATATGCGCTTGAAAAACCTACGTAAATGTTATGGTTTGAAATAAATTAAATAATGTTAGCATTAAAAAAAAACTCTTGGAATTAAAGCCTTTCCGAGCGCCCGAAAACACATCTGAAAAATCAACCACTGTTTTAAAGGAAAATGGTGAAGCACTCTTCCGCAGGATATAAAAAAAGAATAATTTTTCCATGCATTTAAATTACGACAGTCCACTGCAAATAATGACTCAATTAAGACTGCATGTATAAATTTTGTAGGCGTTAGGTAGAAA